ACCACACATAATCTGAGGGGACCCCTCCATTATTGACCCCATCAAACAAAATGGGGGCGCTAGAGAGCTCATTTCTTATCTAGGCCTAACCGCCATATGGATTTTTACTAAACTTGGTAGATATGTAGAACAGGACGCCTCAAGGTGACTGGAGAAATTTAACTCTAATTGGCAACTGGGTGGCGCTATAACAACAGAAAAATGCTTCAAAATGGCTAAAATGCGACCGATCGCTGTGGCTCCCCCTGTGGACCAATGTTGGTGTTGTTTCTAATGTTTGGTATGACTAAGTCATGGTATGGTATGCTGTACATAATCACGGAAACTGTCAGTCAGACATTCTGTCAGTCCCATGTTTGACAAATGATACCATTCTACCACTACTGGCAATGGTACTACTGTACTTTCAATAAAGCAATCGTACTATCAACTTCACAAACACTCTGTCTGAATACATTGCTCTTCTTAATGGGTTCAGTTGACTATTTAATCTGCAATTTCCTATGACCTGTATCCCAAACACACACCATGTCAAACTGTACGTGGGCAGCTGTGCACTCAGTGGGTACGGACTAGTAGAGCTGATGCACAAGAAAAAAACCTTTAAGGTCCGAAACACCAAACTGGCATAAAACTAACGGCGATAAAGCCATCCTGCTATGTCGCCTCACATCGCGGTGTCTCGGCCAAAAAGTTGCACCTGAACACACCAAACAAACGACCAATCAGCTCGTCCGTTCTGCTCCTGCTGAGAGGAAATAAGTCTCCACAGCAGCAGGCGGCGGTCGTCTGTATTCATCATTGAAAAAGGGAAACAGGAAGAGCGTCTTGATGCTAGTTAGCCAGTTAGCACATGAACAACACAATCAGAGCATATTTACCGTGCACCAGTGAACAATAACACAAACCATCAGGAAACGTTTCTGCTGAAGAGAAAAATAATCTGACCTGATAGAACAAGTTGGTTTTGGACTTTAGCTCCTCCTTTACTCACTGATGCCTCTCTGCTCCTCACCTGAGCTCAGCTCACAGTCAGAGGGAGGTCATTCACCAATGGACTTCGCCATCGCCAACAACGATTCAACATGCTGAATCAGCACAAAGAAAGCCGATGGGGGCCGACGAGGGGCAACAGTGCGGGACACACTGCACCGACTAGGGCAACAGACGCTCATCAACAACCAAACATTGACCAACGGCCGACTGTTAGCCTGGTGTGTGAGGGGCTTTCAAAGTGCTTTGAGTGATCAGAGAACTAGAAAACTACTTTACAAGTGCAGGTCCATTCATCACCATCCCCTCCACCTCTCTGACTTCGCCTGTGTTCAGAGCTCGCTCTTTGCAGCTCATTCTTGACTGTTTGTTGGGAGTTCGTCTGCAGACGCTGAATTAAACTTACAGAAAGAAAAGTTTCTGATTGACGAGTTTGTCTCGGAGAAACTGCCACCACCCTACTGATTTAGACTTTGTGATGGAGGTGTGGAGACTAATTACGGGTCAGAATAAAAAACGTCAGAGGCCCTGAAATCACTGAATTAGTCCCTGCAGTCGTGTTAAAGTAAAAACTTGTTATCTACAGTCTCAGTCTGCAGTCGGTGTTCCAGAAAGATTGTGTGAGCTGCAGCAGAGACAGGTCACTTTGAGCTGACGTTCAGAAGCATCCTGCAGAAGAAAATGTGATTTACTGAGCTGATATTTGCTGAATGATAAAGGTCTGTTAATATTAATGTGACTGTTCTGCAGCAGGAACACAGGACAGGTTCATGGATGTCACGAGGAACATTTACTCAAATACTGCACCTACAAATCTGAGGTACTTGAACTCAACTTCTGACACTTCCTGCTGATCTGACAGCTTTAGTTACTTTACAGATTAATATATTTCCACAGTAAATACATGATGAGTTTATAAAATCGGATGTTTTGTTATAACTTTAACTCCCTGACAGTTTGTACATGAACAGCTAAGACTGCAGGAACACTTGTGCTGTCACAGAGTGTATAAAGTATATAAAGTGAACTCTTTGTGTAACATGTGAAGCAGCGTCTCTCAGACAGACACACAGAGTGGATAATGAAGTCTTTCATTAGCAGATTCACAGTGGCTCATTAGGAGAAGCAGGATGTCAGGCTAACTGTCTGTAAACGCCTGCTGTTCTTAACTGCTAATGGCTCCACTAACCTCTGATCTGTCACTCAGGTAACTGCACACCTGCCTTTACCTGCACTCGTCCTGCACAAGGCCTCCTGTCGTTGTGTTAAAAAGTCACTCAGGCAACAACTGAACACGCAAATGAGGAGAGAAGAGGAGGTGACGGGTGGAAGGAGCTCATGTAGTTAGATTACAGAACACATTCACACCACGGAGGAGGAAGAGGAGATTTAAGGCTGTGCTCTCACCTGCAGCTGCTTCAGATGAACAACTGAGGAAATGTTCAGGTGTTTACGTTGGAGTCTTGTTGTTGTCGTCACGTTGAAAGAGAAAAAAATAACCAGGGACGGTAAACAACATCACCTACAGTTACAAGTGTCATCCACCTGTATGTGAAGAATTTAATGAAGCAGAAGGAACATGTTTTTATATCTTTACACACTTTACAGCCTCAGTGAATTACACATACTGGTGTGAAGACTGAAGCATAAGGCACAAATTTTTAATAATGTATTTTTATATTCTTATTTTTATACTTCTTACCTCTACTTTCTATAATTCTGTAAACTCGAAATCAGACTGAATGTAATGTATCATCAATCCCCTCCAGGCATAAAGACAGTATTTCCAATTCTGGGCGGCACAGTGGAGCAGTGGTTAGCATTGTGCCTCACAACAGGAGGGTTCCTGGTTCAAACCAGGTTGTCTGTCTCTATAGACCTGTCTCCACCAAACAGTTCACTTCAGTTCAGTTCAGTGTTTCTGTCTCCACAGTGAAAGTTGTGGATGGTACCAACAGAAGCGTTCCTTAGCGTCCCCATGTTTGGTCCCCCCTCTGTTGGGGTACCTAGCACACAGATCTGGTACTAAAAGGTGGAGCTAGAAACCCTGCAGTCTGATTGGTCAGTAGAGGACGCTCACTCTGGTTTTATGTAACCTCTGTTCATACATCAGTAAACTACAACTATAAAATGAAAGAGAAAAAATAACTTCATTCACTGGGCCGACTGCCGGCAACTTTTAAGGTGGAACGTTAACTTGTAATGTTACTCAATGCATGAGTTGATGACGTGAATCCATCAGCACACCTTAAATTTCACTGTGACAACTTTGACCATCACTTTAGTTTTTATAAGACACACACTTTTAGTAATGACTTTAAAAATAAAGATAAATTTGGAGCGGATTATGTGAAGGTCATATATTCTAATCCTCACTTCCTGTGGGCTACAGCAACACTAAACCCCTGAGCTTGCCTGAGAAGGACTAAATGCACAAAGCTGCTATTTTTAAATATCCCATGGAGAGAGACTCTCACTGCAGCCTGTTCTATTTTGTTGTGAAAATGTGGGCGTGCAGCCTCGTTCTGTGGACGATAAACCAGGTGCAGACTTCCATCTGTGTCACCGCTGATGAGGAAATACAGCGAGTGCTGGACGGAGCAGTGAGTGACAACAACCCAGCCCACATTTAAGAGGACTGTCTGAACAGACCGAGGGTCTAGGTACCATGTCTGAAGGCTTACTGCTGGTTCCAAAGGTGCTGGACTGAAAGTGTTTGGTGGAGACGGGGCTGCAGAGTCAGCCCTGTGATGGTCTGGTGACCTGTCCAAGGTGAACCCCGCCTCTCGCCCAATGACAGCTGGGATAGGCTCCACCCCCCTGCAACCCCTAAACCAGATAAGTGGTTACAGAAAATAAATGAATAATTCTGATTCTGAGATACAGCCTAGATTTGAATAATCTGAGTAAAGTACTTGAGAAAAAAGTGATTTCCCACCTCTCACAGGATGTGGTCGTGTAAATCACTGTATTTCTTAAGGACTTTGTGAAACAAAGGTTTTTTGAAAGCAAACAAACATATGCAGATGTTGAAGATGTGTTCATCATAGGGATGTTTGTCACTGAAAGAGTTTAGATCATTGGTGACCAAACTGTGGCCCACTGCACGTTTTTAAAATAAACAGAATATGGTTTGAGCATATTTCTAATAAACTGCACTGTATGTACACAGCACATTGGGCTCACTGGGCTCATCAGGCACTGTGAGGGAGACAGACGTCTCAGAGGAATCTCACTGAAAACTTACAGTATGTGCACGTCCTTTTATCAGCCGATGGTTGGCCCAGGAAGTTACCCAGACAAACTTTACACAACTGATGTGTGAGAAGAAAAGAAACAACCTCCAGATGTTTTATCGTCTCAGATTTATATAAATACTGAATATTGTACAAATACATGGTACCAGCATCTCTGGAAAATAAAATCAGTGACATCACAGGCCTGTAAAACCTCAGAGCGCCCTCTGGAGGCCGACCGGCACATAACAACAGCAGAGAACCAGAGAACATCAGACCAGACTGAAACAGATCCAGGAATTAGACACGGCCGAGATATTTCTATGGACACATTCTTTCTTAACCAAATTCTGTCTCTTTACAGTACAAGTACTGATAATTTAGATTAAACCAGTTCCAGCTGTAAAACGAACATGAGATCCCTCACCGGCTTCCCACCAAACAAACACAGCTAACATTTCTGGTGATGGTTACACCTAAAAGAAGCAATGAGGGGTTTCAGGCAAAAGCAGAGCTGCAGCGATTGATTGGTTTGATTCAAAGTATTAAATCAATCACAAACTAATTAAATAATCGTTTTGAGTGATTTTCAAATTCAAACTTTTCTGATTTCAGCTCCTTAAATATGAATATTTTCTGCTTTCGTTGCTCCTCTGTGACAGTAGACTGAATATCTTTGAGTTATGGACAAAACAAGACATTTCTGAAGTGATCTTGGGTTTTGGGAAACACTGATTAACATTTTTCACCATTTTCTGACATTTAACGATTAATGAAGAAAATAACAGACAGACTGGTTGTTAGTTGCAGACAGACATCCAAAGTGCACGGAGAAGGAAAAGAGCTCCAGCAACAACTGTAGGAAAAAGAACAGTGTGAATACTCTGGGCCCTGAGGATTCTTTTCTGCAGGTTTCAAATTAAGAGAAAATGACGCCTATAAAGACGCAGCTTCAAGACAAGTGACCTCAGATTTTTGTTGTGTATGTTTGAGCAGGTTATTGTACCGATACAACTCGGACTGAAACCTATATTAAACCCTGTATTCTGTAAAGCCCTCTGAGGCAAACTGTGATTTGTGATATAAATAAAATTGAAAATTGAAACTGAATTTAAAACAATGCTGTCGCAGAATGTTAATTTATACACTGTACTTTCATACACAGAAAATTAAGTAATAAGTTCTTTTAAAAAACCCAAAAAGAACCGGTAAGAGAGCCGTTAAAGTACCACATCGATAAGCTGTATCAGTAAGAGCTGTAGGATCGTTAAGATCTAACGACACCATCCGTAGATGTAACCCAGAGAAAAAGTTGTGGAAATGTGTTGGTTTGTTTGTTGAGACTTTAACTCCACATTGTGCATCTTCCTGTAAACGAGCAGATAATAACTGACGTCTTATTTTGAAATAACCGTTTAAAGACATTTTCTAAACGTTGATGGAAACTTTTAAGGTTTTTATTTTATGAGTTCAAACTCCAGCCTGCTTCTGCACAATCATGTTTGTCTTTAAATCTGGATCCAGGATTTAACGAAATTAATCTAAATGATTAGAGTTTGGTACAGTGTTTCCCGACTGGTGGGTCACAGGTCCACTCTGATTAAACTGCAAGTGTCAAGTTTGTAAAAAACGCAATTTTGAAGTTCAGTGAATTTCCGGCACAGAGCTTTTATTTTGAAGTGCTGTTTCCTGCTGTAGAGTGAGTGACTAACGAACAGCTTCCTTCCTGACAACGACTAAATTCTGCTGTTTGTAAAGTGAAGACAGAGTTAAATTATAATTCTCATCGGTTTTGTTTTGTCATTTAAATTCCAGCGGCGGTGGCGGCGGCGGCGGCGGCGGCGGCGGCCCGTCGTGACGACTCATCTTTGTTTATAAAAACTGAAAAAACAATGAGTTGAACAAACATTTGAAAAATAATCAAAAATACATTAAAAGAAGATTCATCCAAAAATAAATACACTCCCACCTGGTTTCTCTCAGCGGGGCGACAACAGGTAACGCCATCGCCATCATCATGGTCATCATGCTTGTGTTATGAATCAACACTCTCACAGTAACAGTAGGAAACAATCAGGAGGTAAACAGCATCAGTTCAGTTTCTCTCTTTACTGCTCGTGGAATAAACGACTGATGAAATTTGAAGAAGAAAAAATAGATATAAAATGAGTAATGAGTGAATATTAAAATAGATTTTTCAGCAGTTTTAGGACAAAATGTCTCGACTGAGAAGGAACCAAAGAACCAGCTAGAGATTAAATCAGATTACATTTGGTCGACACAGAAAGTTTATCGAGAACTAAAGCGCTGTAAATTCTCCACTTTCAGTTTCAGTGATTGTCTGATGTCGACTGAACACAAGACTTTGAAAAGACGTTTTTTAAAGTCACTATAACAGTCACACGCTCCAGGAGGTTAAAGACGTGGCATGTGTACGTGTCGGACTTAGAACACCAAGTTTCAACAGTTTCCATCTTCAGACTGACGTTGCCTCCATTAAAACCAGTTTCTTCGGGGGACAGAGATTCAATTTCCTCCAAACTATTAACTAGAGAGCAACGTATTCGCCTGAATCTACTGTCATTTAACTCCACGCTAATGTGTAGTCGTGGCAACATACCTGTTTTCATCGATATTTTGAGAATGAAGCAGAGTGAAGTCAGAACAAACTACATTAAGAGAATATATTGATTTAGAGTGGCCTCTATAGAAACATCTGTCTTGTTTATTGCACTTAGCATTTTTGTTATTACTCCTCAGTGGTTCTGGCATCCTGCCTGACAACAGCATGACAACGGCGTTGGTCCCGTCGTGGTGCTGACTGGTTGATTTTTATTTTAACTGACTAACAGCTATTTCATGTCACAAGGCCAGAAGGTTCAGTCACCTTTAACTTTTGATCACATGATCATCAGCAGATGAGTTTGCTCACTTCCAAATTGTAAACGCTCAGATTTCCTTTTTTCTTACGGGACTTTATTTGCTCATGTTGGTTTAAAAGTTTGGACCGCAAGTTGTGTAACGACAAGTCAACAGGTCATGTGATGTGATCAAAAGCTCCAGCTGAGACTGTTTTCATCAGTTTTATATACACCTTGGTGGCTGGAACTTTATTCACTTTTCTGACTTTTACAGACCAAATCATTGATCAATAAACCAAGATAATAATTAGTGATTAGTTTTAGCTGTTCATCTGCAGACTGTGGCTCTACGTGTGACTGGATGGTCTGCAGGACACTTTGGTTCCTTCCCAAGTTGAAACAAATCTGTCCCACTGATGCTGGATTAGAAAATTAATTTCTGTTTCCGATCATGAAATGCTGAGGTCATGATCTGCTACAGTTCAGTTCAGCCTGGTTCGGCTCAGTTTGGCTCAGTTTACTTTGTAGAGAACACAAACACATTCAGCACAGAAAATACATCTGGGAACGTTTTCTCATAATTAGAAACTCGTCACAGTTTTCTGGTGATTATGAGAAACAGATCTGAAAATAAACTTCAGTTTTTTTTCTGTGGTGATTAAAAAAAATTTAATTCACACATTTCCTGTTTCTGTGATCGATAAGAGGGTCAGCGTTAACACCTCCTCTCTTCATTTCAACAGCAGCAAAATAAAATACCATGAAACACTTTTGACGTTAGTCGTCAAGCTTTGTAAAATACTTTTGTTTGTGAAGAATAAAATTTCTCCCACATGATAAAAAGCTAAAATAAAGCGTCTGAGGTTATAGTATGATGCTTGTTTGGCAGATGATCTCTGGTGAAGCGTCTCCGTACCCCCTCTGCTCCGTTTGCACGATCCCAGTAAAACAAAATAGACTTTAAAGTTTGCGTTCACTCCACGCCAGCAGGTACCAACCCCCCCGAAATAATCTAATGAACCAGCTCAGGTTGGGCCGCGTTCAGTTTGGTGTAACAGTCTGTCTCCATCCTCTGAGGTCTGAGGTCAAACAGTCACCAGCTTCCTGTTTGTGTCGATAAAGTTCTGTGACTGAAACCGTCATCAGGAGGTTTTAACACACTGAAAACGTTTCACTGGTTTTATTCTCCAGATGTTCCTGATGTTGTTGGTTTGATCCTCAGAGATGTTAAACTCCAGGTTGTGTCAGCGCAGGATTGAATTAATCACGTGTGTTTGTACCGTCGCTCAGTGCAGCCTCGTTTGGTTTCACTGCTCCAGCTGCAGATCCGTCGGTGCTGCTGCGTCCGTTACAAGGCAGAAAGTAGAACCACGACCAGCGCGTAGCGTAAAGGATCTGTGTAGCACCGCAAGATAAAAAGCATTAAAGCCTCCAGGTGAAACAGTCGGGACTCGGACACTCGTCCTGCGTGCGTCCTCTACGCCAGGACACACCAGGGCGTCTGGTCCTGGTCACACTCCAGTTTGGTGTTGATGATGGTGCAGGGAGCGCCGCTGATGGTCAGCTCCTGTCTGGACTCCACCTGGTATCGGAGGTTAGTGAGCCCCCCCTCCGGGTCCACCTTAAACTGCTCCTACAGGGAGGAGGAGACGAGGGAGAGAGGAGGAGACCAGGGAGGGAGGGAGAAGGGGACGAGGGAGGGGTGGAGGAGACCAGGGAGGGAAGTGGGGGACAATGGAGGAGGTCATGTTTAGTAAGTTTTTCCATATGAGAGAGGGGGTTATGATTTCAGGTCATTTTTAAATTCCCACAGAGATGCAGCCGAGTTCATCTGCGAGTTACAGATTTCTGATCATTTATTGATCGGTTTTGAGCAGCGTTTGTATCTTTACTTTGTCTGAACTGAGGCTGGAGCAGGGACGTCTCAGCACTGACACTTCAGCACCAAGTCGATGCCAAAATTCTGAAAACGTGCTGTTTTTCCCCAGTACCACAGGTACTCTTCTGGACCTGACGGGGCAGCATTTATGCCTGCACATGTTCTAGTCTAGTCATTAAATGCCAAAGGAGGAAGAAGAGGAACGCAGACACCACATGGAACAAACCAATGGGAGCGCAGCGTATTTACACTCTGCTACAAACGCCAGCAGCCTGACGAGGTGCTGAGCGTCTATTCTGCACTGACCGCACGTTTGGCGTTTATTTCTAAGAGCTGAAAAATGTTCAACTTTGCGCTGTCCAATCACAGTGGAGGAGGGGAGTGACAAATACACAAAGAACAACCGTCACATCTTGAGGCTCATTTATTCTCCTTTTACGTATGAAAACAGATTCGTCTGTTGCAAACACTGTAAACGTCACTGCCCTCATACTTCCATGCATCTCTTATGATGTCATAGATACAGCCAACAGATGGCACGAGAGGGCGGAGCCAAAAGTTTCACACAACAACAAACAAGGTGACGGTGAGGGAGGTCGTAATGTACCTATAAATGGAGTCAGTGTTGCAGAGGTGGTGGTCAGTCATTATATACAGAGAATTCATTTCACTGTATATCATTATATATTAATATACTGTATATTATTATATATTAATATACTGTATATCACTGATTGGTTCTGTATTTCCACTATTTTATTTCGTTGTCATCTCTTATGGTCATATCTTGCTTGAACTACGCTACACTGCCTCCATGATCTCCGGTGGTTTTGCTCTGTTTTATCCATCACCTCTCAGGAAACGTGCACAAATACAGATGAAATGAATGCTGAGTACAGACAGAGGGCTCCGTCTGTCTCCGTCTGTAGCCTTCAGCATAAATTACATGTCCAAGTGCTGAACATCAACTATGGAGGAGAAATATGTTAATATACTGTCAGCCCTCGGTCTTTAACAGGAGGTCCAGGGCCCAGGTGAGGACTGCAGCCTGAGGTCGACATGGACCTCTGCCTCACATCAGTTTAATATGCAGTAACATTTTATACTATATATGTAGTCAGGGCTCTTTAGAGGGTCTTTCTCTGTCAGCTGAAGGGTCCTCGGCTTGAAGACCGCTGCTGTACGATATATATTAATACATATTTCCCACAGAGCAGAACTTTGTGTTTGAGGCGGATCATCAGGGATTAGCAACAAAATTTACTTTGTAGATTTTTTAATAAAGAAGTGTATGTTTATGATATTTACCATTTGTTTTTTTTACTGTGGTATCAAACTGAGTATCAGGAATGGTGGAATTTCACTGGTATTGATATCGACGGCTTATGTTTCGGATTAATCGGATCTCAAATCAACACTTTCAAATGAAAATTTTTTGAATCAGTTAAACTTTGTTTAAAACTGTTTTAAATGTCCTTTTATATGGAATTTGTCCATTTTATCTTCGTTATGTCTGCTTTCATGTGAAGCGCTCAGAGCTTATAATCTAAAACACGTTGTGCTGCATTTCTTGTATAAAAGGTACAACAGAATTAAAGTTTATCATTACTGTTATTAATGTAGCAGCCTATTACAACAACAACACAACACGTGCTGTTCAGTGAATGATAAATTATGCATCATTAGCTTCTGTGAACATTTAATTAACAGCATCTCTGTGACCATGCACATCATATACTAACATTATTATTTCCATCATATGTTCAGTGTAGGAATGTATCTGTGTGTGAGAAGGAAGGAAACAAAACAGGAGCACGTCTGGTAGGAGAGACGTTAGCTCAGCTTTCCTCACAGAGGCAGAAATATGTTTTCAGCGCCGGTCAAAGCTCTGTGTCTTTTTCGGTATTTACAGTTTGTCACATCTCCGTCCATGTTACCCTGTCCAGATACAGTGAGACATCGTCCGTCACCTCAGAGGGTTTAGTTGAGAAAACTATCCAGCTTCTCATGTTTATAAAACCTTTTAAAAGTCTGTTAGATGAAGTGAAATGAGACTTTTTGCAGAGCAGAGAACCAGAATCAGGGCTCTTTTTCTCAGGAGAGAGGAATGAGATTATTATTTATTATTTTACTGTTGTTACACCTCCACATCTGCCCTTTAACTGCTGCTGCCCTTTTTACATTAATGTGATTTTATTAAAGATAAATCAGACCTCTCTGCTCAGACGCAGCTACTCCTGCAGTAAACTGTGTGTATCTGTGATGCGTTCACTGTCACAGGTGAACTCTTGTACCTGTTTCTGAGAGGCGACTCTCTTCTGGTCTCTCTTCCTCCAGGCCGAGTCGTGGATGTGGAGGAAGGTTTTATATCCTGTGGTGATTCCACTCGGTCTGAACAGCTGCACAGAGTAACAACACACACTCAGACAGGTATCACATCACCTGTCTGACAGTAATCTGACTGATCCAGCAGCATCATGCTCTTAAAATGACAAACCAGGTAAATGTATTTTTGAAGCTCAGAGTCTAAAGACAGTCCTGATGAAACTCTGGTTACTGAAACAGAAAAACAGACTCGTTATAACAGGTATGAAGGTTGTCCCTGTTCTCTGGAGACTCGTACCTGTAACTCAGCTTTTCTCAGGCGTCTGTAGAACTCGTCATCCTCTCTGCCCCAACCCCAGAACCTGTTTGACATGCCGTTACACTGCAGAAAACAAAAAGACAGAGAAGTTAACCTTTTTATTTTCTGCTTCAGAGCCAGTGAGGTCTCTCTGAGGAGACACAAACACTTGAAGACTCCTGCACTGTCCTGATCTTTAATAAAGTCTGAGTTGAATCCAGTTTAATCTCAGTGAGTCAAACAGCTTCATCTGGTGGACGGTTTCAATCATTACATGACTACTGAGAAACACCGTCAGGCCTCTATGACTGAACCACATGTAATCTGAAGCTTCTCCTGTTTTATTATCTACTAAACAAACTGGGATCGTTGAGATAAACGTCATTACAAATTAAAAAAGACAGACTTCATATTTTCATGTGTTGTTTGGTCGGTGGCTGAGGGAAGTCATTGTGGGACAGAGAGAAACCAAGATATTCCACTCACTACCAACACAGCTTTCCACTGAGTCCTGGGTTCACGACTAAAACTTAGCAAACAGTCCCAGTGAAAAGTTAAGCTTCTGAACAGTGATGACGTATTTCCCAGGAAAAGGGAATATTTGATTGGTGTACAGTGGCGTGCTTAAGTTGGGCACCCCTGGTCAAAATTTCGTTTGCTGAAGCTGAAGATGAAGAGAGGATGGCTTCTACATTTTGACCAGGGATGCCCAAGCTTTTGCATGTCACTGCACAAGAGGGATTTAAATAAAGTCCTTCACATTTCATTGGGACGCTAAAAAGTGAGCGGGTTTAGAGTTTAAAGGAGCTACAGGGGACTGCGGGCTCCACATAACACCTGTCTGAGCATTAGACCAGGCAGAGGACGAGGGAGAGATAGATGAATGAATGAATGAGGCCTCAGCCACACTGTTCTGGAACTGAAAATAAAGGTTTGATTAAAGTAGCAGCAGCTCAGTACCAGGTGATAATGTTTCTTGGTGAGCAGCAGGATTCCTCCCACGTAGGTCTTGTAGTGGTACAGCGGGTGCAGCTCAGGTGAGGCCACGTGGAACGGTCCCTTCTCAGGGAAACCGTAGTGCAGAGCATCGTTCAGAGGCAGCAGGTCCACGTCGTGCATCGCCAGGTAGTCCGTGTCGTTACCGCTCTCCAGGTAACCCACGTTGATCAGAGACGCTCGGTTAAACCTGAAACAAGAGACCTGAATTACTGTGTTGTACGATATGACCTAATTTTTGGGGTTATGGTAGACTTTAAAGGATGAGTTCCCAGCACACAGTAAACTCCTCGGGTGTCACCATGTTCATTTCTGTCTATGTTGAGCTCTACAGGAAGATACTCAGGTACTGGACAGACCTGATAAGTCTTTTTAATTCCTCAGGCACACGCACAATGTTCAAGTTTTTCTACAGTTTATATAAATATATATTTAACACAAACTTAAAGTCAGATCTGGTGATGAGAAGAGTCTCGTCCTCACCTGTAGTGATCCACCTGGTTGATGACGACGATCTTGTGTCGGATCTTCTTCTTGTTGAGGAACGTGTGCATGAAGGGAACAAACATCAGCAGCTCATCGAAGCGTTCCCTGAAGGGGACGATGAGGGCCAGTTTGTGAGGACCCCAGGAGGGGTCGTCCACTGCAGACACCTGACTGTTGGCCCTGAGGCACGACGGCGGCGGCTGGCCGAGGTGCCCATCGTCATACATGTCACCTGAACAGCTGAGCTGCAGCCAGAAGAGAGAGACGAGCAGCAGCACCATGCAGAGGCCGAACAGCTTGTAGACCGTACACTTAGCAGACAGGAACCTAGAGACACACAGATGAAGACGAGGGAGGAAGAGTCAGTGAGCATCTTCAACAGAAGCAACCACATACAGCAACCAAAAACTGACTGATTCTGGATTTTAAACCTGTTTGCTAAAGTTCTCGCTGTTTCCAAATTGTTTTTGTCATCAATAAAACGTGTATTAATTTAACCTTCACTCAGTGGAAGGAACAGGAAGGTCTCAGATCAAACTACGATCAGAAACACATGTTTAAAACACATGCAGCTTTATTTTAGGGTTTATACTAGGAACAACTCTAAAAACACTGAGGATTGTGGGTAACTGAGTACAGGTCCATGTTTTCAGAGTGAGAGTGTCAAACTTTTATTTCTCTGATTGAACAAGAACAGAGGATTTTTTTCAGTAAGGAAGCATCAAATTCACAAACAACAGATAAAACCAACATGCAAGAAAAACATCATCATCATCATCATCTTCATCAGTATTTAAAGTGGCAGTCAGTAGTTAGTACTGATGCACACTGACATGCATGCAGGGAGGGAGATCACCAAACTGCTGTTCTTTAATCATGAAACTCACTCTCACTCTGTTGCTCAAAATTACAATTCAAACAAAGTGACATGAACGCAGCACGAGACCTGCAGCACTCAGAGGGTTAAACACACATGAAGACATGAAGTGTGATGAAGACAAACCAGTCAGCAAACTGAGCGACACCAGAGGTTCCCAAACTGTCTCAGAGACACAGTTTCATAAATAAATGTCTCCAGACTGCTGTGAAAGACTTTTACAGAGTGTCGCTCCTCTGCTCTCTCTCTTTGGTCTAAACTGTGTTTTTTATTAAGATCAAGTTCTTATTTAGAGAAAAAATAATGTTTGACAACTTTGTTTATTTTGTTCAATAAAATAAAAGGTTTACATTTGTATTCTCTCAAATTAAGATATCAAAATACATGTTGTTTTAGAAACATTTTTATTTTGTGGCCAGTTCTCCACAGGATGAAGAAACACACCCCAAAACTAGTCAATATTATTAAAACCTGTTCCAATAGGGTCTTAGGTGCGTTTTATTATTATAAGTGATGGAGCTCTCCATCAGTTCTTTAATTCCTCAGCAGCAGTTTCTGACTCACGTGGTGGATAATTGATTTATTGATCTGTTCAGAGCTGATCAGATCAGAGAGGAGCAGCTGCTGCAGAATGAACAGTTAAGTCTCATTTTCAATGCACCTGACGCTCTGCCCTCCGACAGCGTGGTACTCTGAATAACCAAATTTCAACAGCGCTTCAAATTAAAGATCCAGCTCCAAAAATACAGAATCAGTGTGTGGCAGCAGATGTTTTAATCATGGCAAGCCGCCATAAAATCAACGTGTGCGAAACCCTGAGTCTGTACACCAGACTTTATATTTTATTATATATTTATTTATATTCGGTTTCTGCACCATTTTGTGTCTTCTCATTTTTACTTGTTTGATTTTATTTTGTTTTATATAAATATTTAATAATTATTGTTGTAGAGAGCCTGGGATCTCAATACGGTGACTGCTTTAGAGTAACTGCTGTGTGTGTGACAATAAATAACATGAAGATGATTTTTAATGGCTGCATCATTTCATCACAAACAAATATTTAACATGACTTAAATAACATTTTAGTCTCTCTTACAGACACATGTTGAGATCTCATTAGAATTTAAAATAAACTCAGGAGTGACTTTAATGACCCGGAGTCTGTCCCTGAACCACAGTTTGGGAACCACTGAGTCACAGTGTGAGTGTGTACTCACTTCTCCTGCTGATGAGGAACTTTACACATCTCACTTCTTAAAGAGGCCAAGAAAAAGTTTTATTACTTAAACAGTTATTACCACTTCCTGTCTTCTCTCTGACACGTGGTTTGTGCGTGCGCAATGTTACTAAGTCTGACAGCTTTAGTTACTTTTAAAGTTACAACCTCAAAGATCTGCAGCAGTAAAATGCAACATACACATTAATGACAGAGAAATATTGATCCAAAAATATCAACTTCAATCAAGAAAATCTGGACGCTGTGTGAAATGTAAATAAAGACAGTTGAGTCCAGAGAGTTTAAACTGATAATCTTTATTGTTTGTTCTAAATTTACACTCATTCTGCAGTATGTCATAATAAAGTTGTGACAGGAGCATGTTTCCCACTGTGTGACATCATAACCCTTTCTTTGACCTTTCCCTGCACTCTGTCAGTACGAAGCCACGCTGTTGGACCACGTCACAATGTGTCTCATTGTCTCGCTGGAATAAGCAGAGACGTCCCTGAAAATGACGTCATCTGCAGTGGCGGTTCTAGCACATATGGCGCCCTGGGTGAGTCTCACCCCCTCGCCAACAAGTACATTTTACAAGATAACATTGAACACATCATGAGAGCGTAATAATTTACCTTTGTCCAGTACTAATTTTTACTGAACGCTTCACAATATAAATCAATGCAACCTCCGTGAGCTGTTGGTTGTGTCCACTGGCTGTTTAGAGGTAACGACAACTAGCTGCTAACTGCTACCAGCTAACTGAACGAGCTCTCCTCTTGCTGATCCTCTCAGTAGTGTTGTGGTAGCTGAGTCATTTTGGCATGATAACGATAACGCATGTTTCGGGGTTCACGTGACGTTAGATAACTCCGCCCATCTCCCCCAGAGAGCAGGTAAAGTGTAACGAGCTGAGGAGGGCCCGGGGGCCCGGGGGTCATGTTGTTGTGGCTTCATGTCATATGTCTAAATAACAGCAGAAACAGTTTTAGTGAAAAATAGTAAAAGATAAACACTTAGTTTTTCCTTTCTTCCCCCATTTGGAGCGCCCCCTGTGGATGATGGTGCCCTTAGCCTTCACAGATGTGAAGTTACCCATGATGCACCTCTCCGTCCCATCACAGATGCTGGCTGTGAACTTTGAGGTGGTGACAGTCTGGATGGTCCCGGAGGACACGAAGTCCATGATGGACCGGTCAGACCACTTTGTGTCGGTCCATCTCAGATGAGCTCGGGCTCAGAGAAGTGGGCGGAGCATGGTAGAGTCTGAACTGTCATTGGTCGACGCAGTGACGTGTTTACTGACAGTGGTTTTCCAAAGTGTTCCTGAGCCCATGTAGTAAAATCCTTAATACAATCAATGCAGTGCAGTCGGAGGGGTCAAAGGTCACAAGCATTCAGTCTTGGTTCTTAGCTGTGTCCCTTACGTGCAGAGATTTAGATCTTTTGATGATATTATGGGATGTAGATGTGAAATCCATTAAGTCTTTGCAATTGTGAGTTAAGAAACATTGTTCTTAAACTGTTGGACTGTATGAACATGCAGATTTACACTGAGTGACCAGCATTGCTTTTAATTAACTGAGCCTTTTGAGTGTGATCATCTGTTACCTATTGACTTGTTTACCTGTGGAATGTTCCAGGTGTTTCCTGAGCATTCCACATCTTTCCCAATCTGTTGTTGCTTCTGTCCCAACTTTTTTTAATGTTTACCAATAAAAAATAATAATAATAATGTCAATCAGTCTGAATATTAAATATCTTGTCCCTGTACTGTATTTAACTGAATATAGGTCAAAAATAATTTACATATCAATACATTCTGCTTTATTTCCATTTTACACATCGTCCCAACATATTTTTTTAATCAGCTGACACGGAACATTATTGCATTATATATATTTCTACCTGTAGCAGAGTACTTTCACAGGGTGGTATTAGTACTCCTACTGCAGTAACAGATCTGAATGTTTCTTCCACCATGATGCTCTTATTGTGAATCAACAGGAATAAAGTGAAGAAGACAGTTGACGGTTTGTTGTTGCAGCTTTAGCTGATATTACAATCACCGTTAAATCACCAGAGGATAAAACAAATATATATTTAAATAATATTAACAAAGTGCCTCTTACCTTCTCTCCTCTTTGAAGTAGAGCACAGGTTTTCTCCTCGACGAGTACATCATGTTTATGACTTCACTTTAATTCACAAACAGACGACAGAAACTTAAACTTTGTCAGAAACAGGAATCAGTCCGTGTTGTTTCTGTCCTCCATGCTAACTGAGCTAACTGTGCTAACTGCTCACACAGCCTCCCGCCACTTCACCGGCACCGACTGTGAACATTTATACGGTTAATAATCCGTGTTTTCTACCCGCTCTGTCCCGACTCCATATCAGTCTGTCTGTCTCTCTGCCTGTCTGTGTGTCTGTCTGTCTGTCTGTTAGCTCAGGTTGTTACTGTACACGTAGCATGTAGCGGTTCACTCACTCCGCCGCTCCGGGTTCAAACCGCTTACACCGGGTTTATTTTGTCCGTTTAATCCGCCGCTGAGTGTCCGGTAACGTTTGGATTCAGCGGGAAACTTTAAACTAACACGACAACAACCGAGCGGAGAAATATTTAACGGTAACTCATGGTGGAAAATATCAAACAGAAAGCCGATTGTAATGATGTCCGACCGGTAATAGGGTCCGACCGAGCGGCAGCAGCGGCTCAAAGGTTCCTACCAGAAAAAAATTGATTTTTTCTCCCCCAAAAAAACTTTATTGAACACATTCAAACATGGAGCATGAGGTTTTTTTTTAAATGATTTTTTTTACACAGTCACACCGCAGAAGTAAAAGTAGTCCCTCTGCAGAATAATATTCATCACTGCATTATAATTACTGATATATTAATGTGTTCATCCCTTTAATGTTGCAGCTGGTGAAGGTGGAGCTCATTTTAATTAGTTTATATACTGCTGCCTAGCTTCATCCAAACTAATACATCATCATTTATTAGTTAATTATGTATATATATTTTTTACACAATATTTTTATTTAAATGTTAATTTTTTTAAATTATTTTTTACCTTTATTTAACCAGGAAGGGTCCCATTGAGTTACAGTTGCTCGTCTTCCAGGAAGTCGTGGCCAAGACTGGCGTCAAAAGTTACAAGTACACAAAAGACAAGACAATGGACACATACTAAAACCACGGGAACACAAGCGTCACATACGAAACATGCTGGAACACAAAGTCAATGAGAACACATTACACTCAGTCAGACACATAACAAGGCAAAACAGACAGACTATTGAAAGGCACCAAGTTAGAAGCAGTGACACTGATCAGTAATGGTTGATTTTAAAAGTTGTTTTTTTTTTTGTTGAAAGGTGGAAGTGACTCCAGATTTAAGGTGTTTTGGAGTTGTTCATGCTTTTTACATTCATATAATACATAACCCAGAATAATTCCGTCTGAACACAATTATATTCAGTTTGATGGGAGACACATATGGTGACCTGCAATGACGACGACATTATGATGATGATTTTATAGGCTACTTAATATTTATAATTACAATGTTTGTCTTGTCATTTTATTCACCTTTATTGTATATCACAGAATTGTTTGATTTTATGATCTATGGATACACTGCTGCTTGTTTTTAACTGTTTCTTGTGAGGTGTCCTGGAGTGCTCTGAAAGACTGAACACAGAAATTATTGATTCACTTGATCATCAGCTGAATCTGAATCCTTCACATCATTTATAAAAGACTGACTCCAGAAAGACTCCAGATATTCTCAAATGTCTGTCGACGATCCTTTAAGTTATTCCTTCTAATGGAAGGTATGATAACATCTGTCTCATCCACTGGTTGCTGCTCAGTCTGTGAACTTTTCTCCATCAAAGTGAAACACATTTATAAATGCTTGTTAATTTTTATCATAGTTATGTTTCTCTGGATATAAACCAAAAAGCTCAGAGGGTCCAGTGAGATTCTTTCTGAAATAATCTTCTCCATTATAACTCCTACCTCTTCCCAGAACATTTGAATCTTTAGTTAATCATATTTTGTTTCAATAATCTGAGTTTCTAAAGTACCTGAAGCTGTCTGATAAATGTCGTGCAGTAATAATTCCCTCAGAGATGTGAAGTGGAGTCAAAGTATTAAGTTGTATAAATGAGATAAACTCAGGTGAATCACAGGTCAGCCACCTCAACATTGTTTAGTTCAATATTGATTAAATGGACTTATAAACTTAAATGTATATAAAACACTTACAGAGCAGTTCTGCTGTTTATTTTTACTCCTGAAACTTAAAAGTACATATTTATGATTATACATCTGTTTATACTTCAGTAAAATACTTTTATTGTGTTTTAAATATTTTAATTATATTGTGATTTTAATATTTCATATTCCTCAGGGCACGCTATTTTATGATTCTGTTAGTTGCAACTGCACTACTCACTTTATTTATTAGTTAATAACTTGTTTGCTGATTTAGTGTTTTACTATAATGTTCATTATCTAATAATCACTGAAACCCGATTATTACATTTCATGTATTTCTGTGACTGGAACGACGATAATGAATTCTTGATCCTTGAAAATATTTAATGTATTTGTACTTTTAATAATGATGAATTGTGTACTGTTGCTGCTTTAGTGATGGATCAGAGTATTATGAAAGAAAAATACTTGAGCACAATATAATCAGTGAGTGAAACTGGACTAATACAAAACCCGAAATATTCTATCAACAGTTTTATTTTTGGAACCAGGCAGAAATATTTTAGCTTCAACATCATTATATTTTATTTGCATTAATTTTCCCTTCAAAATACAAATCAGACACAGCTTTTAAAAATCCATAAAAATAACTTTTATAAACAGTTTCACTGAAGAAAGTAAGAAAAGAAACTTTCAGTCGTTTAAACCAAATGTGACAAAACTTTATTTCGAGTGCAATTTCAGACAGATTTCACACGGACAGAATCTCCCTAAAAATAAAATTAACTCAAGCCCCTCGTCCAGACTAAAAACCATCTGATTTATTTTCTAACCCCCAAAAACATTTTTGAAATCTACCAGCAACATAAAACTGTTCAACACAAACCACCAGAGAATAAAGACGAAACAAAAAGAGATGAAATCTTTACGGCTGAAGACGTGTTTGACACCTAACGTCTTCCTCAGGAGCTTCAGCTGAGGGACGTTTTCAGGATCCTCACGTTCAGACTGACTCTGTTCACTGAACATAAGAGGATCTGAAATTGTTTCACTGCTCATCAGAACCACGTGAGGCTGAATATGTAATGATTTAACTTCCCACCACATGTTCTGTTTTAAAGTTTTACGCCTGAAGAGTGAAACATCTGGAGGTGAAGATCATCTGAGCGGGTCAGGAGCTGGTGGCGACACAGCGCTGCACAATCTTTACATGTTTTTCTACAGCGAGCAGAATCTGTTCAAGATTTTCCTTTCATACAGGAGACAACAAATGATGCTGTTAGGTCAAAGATAAAATCTTTTCCTTCAAATGACTGGGTTCAACATCAGACGCAGATCCAAACAGCGTTGTTTCTTAGTTCTTTTGTATTTGATAGTATTGACGCCTCAAGATCTACAGCTGCTTTTCAAGCAGAGGATTTAAAGTTCCCTCTGAACGTTCCCGTCTGTGTTTCCACCACATCTGAAGAAACGTGACGATTAATCAGATTAAATTAAAATATGACCGCAGCCTTTAAACGGTGCCAAATGATCTGATAGCAGAAGACTTCTCTCCACGCCTCCGTCAGCGAGCCAGAACCAGGAGAACAGAAACATACATTCAGTTTGGACACAGTAAAAATGTGGATTCACTCACGCACAGTAACAAACAGGAAACTGTCTCGTTTTGTTGGAGTTCACAGAGCCGGGCTGAAACATTAAAGACAAACTGACGCTAAAAGCTGAAACCTTTGATTTCACCTCATTAATGAAGCCACAGCAGCCTGAAGTTTACTTAATACAACGCGTTCCTGTCTGCAAACACCTGACGCAGAATAATAGAGCGTCTGTTTCAGGAACACGTCCGACCTCTACATTCTGCAGGAGGAAACTGAAACAGGTTTTTCTTCCTTCTTGTTTGATCACTGCTTCAGGTATTTAAAACAGAGTTGATGAAGAGGCCAAATTCTGCTAATTAAAAAAAAACAAAGAGTCGAGAGTCAAACAGAGATCAGAGATCAGTCTGAACGTGTGAAATACTTATATTCTGCTTCAGTATTCAACAGCCAGTGGCACAACAAAGAGCCGACACACTTCAGCCCTGTTTTCACTGCAGCATCAGTATCACACGTCCTCACGAATTAACACCACAAAATGTAGTTTATCAGGGACAAAATAAGGGACAGCCATTTCCTGTGACATCACGTCAACATGAACTGTGACGTCCTCGAGTGTCATTAATTTTAGTTCTGTTCAAAATCTCCACGTTCAGATTTTCCTGCGTGATTCAAGACGCAGAAAACGTGTCACAAAATGTTTTACAGATGAAATAAAAACTAGAATTTCTGCTTTGTGTCAAACTGATAATTCACAAACATCATCTCTGAGGCCAGTAACACGTCCCGTCTCATCACAGTGAGGAAGGAGACAGGAAACACACACGTCAAACACACGACTGTCAGCTTCAGCTCTGATGTCAGAGCGAAGCCGGCCCGTCTGCGGTTCAGTGTCTGTGTCATAAATACAGTCGTCACATGTTCCACTGTTAACATGAGGGGCTCATTACAAACAGAGCTGCTGACACAAACTATGATAACATCAATAATAATAATAATAATAATCTAAAGAGGATGTTTTGAAGCCGAATCGTGCAGCTGGGGTTTCTCTGTCCCGCCTCCTCAGCAGTTTTCCTCCGACCGCCACCGCCGCCGCTGCTCGGCACTGCATCAATCAGTAGAGACCAAACACACTCACACGCCCTCTCACACACACTCGCATACACACACACACACACACACACATTCGCACACACACAGACTCACACTCTTCGCCCAGTCGAAAACTTAGACCAGTTTCTTGGCCTCGAAGAAGCTCTTGAGGTGTCTCATCTGCCAGATGCCGATGGCCACCAGGATGAGCGTCTGGACGATGGACCACCAGAGGACGCGCTGGTTGGTGCTCTCGCTGGTCTGACGGAAGCGCTCCTCACGGTACTGGGAGAGGACAGACGGACAGACAGGGGACGATCAGCAACTGAGGACACTTCACATGACCAGCTGACAGGACGAAGCGACAAACTTTATAGAACAGAACTAAACTTCATTTTCACAAATAAAAAAAGACATTCACAAAAGTGGTTCCTTTAACAAATTCATTTTGTGTCCTCTGAAACAAAGTGTCACAAACAGTACAGCTATAAGTTTGTTTAACTTCAACAAGCTTCAGACAGAATTCAGGCTCAGTTTTAATCCCTCCTTGTTTTGGCAGAACTGATCATTTATCAGCTCTCTCACATGAACTCTTATCAGGTCAGTCGAGGAGTTTGGCCTCTCCAGAAGCTTAAAGGGACAGTTCACCTCAGAATCAAACTAAATATTTCCCTCTCACCTGTGGTGCTGTTTATCAGTGTAGATAGTTTTGGTGTGAGTTGCAGAGGGTTTAAGATATCAGCTCTAGATCAGCTGTAGAGCTGCAGCTGTCTGCCTTCTCTCCAGTATAATGGAGCTAGATGTCACTCAGCTTGTGGAGCTCAAAGTGCCAGTGTCTCTTTACAGAAATCATGACCTGGTGACTCAAGATAATCCTCAAACCTTGTTGTGAAGCAGTTTCATGTAGGAACTATTTTCTTTTCATTTCATTTTTCATTTCAACACTAAACTCACACCAAAACTATCGACTGATAATCAGCTCTACAGGTGAGAGGGAAAATACGTAGTTTTGATTTTGAGGTGAACTGTCCCTTTAATGTTAGATTGAGAAACCCAAACTATCTGTGACGTGTCAGATTCCGACAGAACCTCAGAAATCATCATCATCAAACTGTCACAACATTGACAATCTGTGTGTGACCTCAGCTGTTTAACACACACACACACTGACCCTCTGGTAGTTCTGCTCCTTCTGGATCTGGTCCACCTGCTCCACCAGCTGTCGGACTCTCAGCTGCAGCTCCGTCAGTTTGTCTTTGGCAGCGATCTCAGCGTAGTTGTTGGCGTGTTCTCCGACCTGAATATCCAGGTGAACCCTCTGCAACACAACAGGTCAGAGGTCAGCAGTGAGTCATCATGTGGTGCAGAATTAACATGACGACACACAGACAGACGCAAACAAGTCAAGGTTACATTCAGGAGATAAACTGAAGCGTTCACATCGTCAGTCGAGGAACTTTAAAGTGAATCTGACACCAGCTCTAAATCAGAGGTGTTCACGAGGCGTCTCCTCACCAGCATGCCTCCTGCGAACAGGGAGAACTTGGAGGAGTTGGAGTGCAGGCAGATCTGATGCTCTCCAGGTGTGTGTGAGGTGAAGGTGAACCTCCCCTCTGAGCCGTACTGCCGAGACAGAATCACCTGCAAGAGACACACACACACACACACACACACACCAGTTACACACTGACGAAGATGAAGATGACACTGCTGCTGTCTGTGTTAAATGTTTCTGTTGTCACCTTGTCATCAGGATCTTTGACCTCCACAAACATCCCCAGACCCTGAGTGGCCGGCAGGTACTCCTCTCTCTGTTTGTCGTACAGCTGAGTCCGATAGTTACCTGCAGAGAGACGGAGACAGGTGTGTCGAGGTTAGACTTCTTCATTCTACTCATCAGTTATTAATCTCTGCCCTAAATCTACTTGGAAGCATAATCAGAGTTTTTGTCCCTGTCTCATGTCCCTGTCGGACACATGAGGACACCACAGTCGGCTCCACTCACTGACACAGTTCTTTATTGTCATGTGAACAACAGTTACAGTCAGTCAAGTTTCCTTCAACAACACTCATTAAATATGTATAAAAGAGGAAATCACATCAGTAAAATCTAACAACACCCAACACATAAAGACAGAGCAGCAGTTAAAGTCTAAAAATGAAATAAAACACTAAAACAGACACGTGTTCAGTCGTGGTTAAATGTATTAACAGCAATAGTGTAGCCGATGTATCTACATGTGAAGTCTGTCAGATGTGGCCAAAGGGAGATTTGGGCGGGATCTGTCTCTTCATAGCTTCCTGATATTTCACCAGTGTGTACGTACGGTACGTGTTCGGTATATGTTCTCCAAACTTGAGCAGTAAACGAAAGTCACACCAGCGCACACACTGCAGACCTGCTGCAAAATGCAGCACAAGAACAGGGAACTGTGGTTTCACTCACGTTCTTTATCTGTCCTCTCAGAGGGCATAAATCTGCCCACAGTTCAGTCTGTCAGGTGTATGCAGCATTTCTGACAGGTGTTGGTCAGTCTGTCTGCTCTGTGTCACATTCAGCTGCAGTAAAATGATACAATCAGATGAACAGACTGAAAACTTTATCTGAGGAGGTCAAACTGATGTTGACAAAGTTTTCCTTTGAGGAAATAATTCGCAGTTGGAAAAAAGGCAATAAATTGCAATATATTTTACCACAATACTCAGCATGTTGCAGTAATAACATATCGGGGGTCCTGTGGTGATTCCAACCCCTAATCCACACAAGTCACCGCAGTATTGACAGGTAGCACAATCACATTATCAAAATACAGTATTATCAGAAGATAAAACACGGTGCTTCCCCTGGACGGTAATAAACCATCCTGACTGACATGAGTGAAACATCATCTGCTGTCACGGCAGACGTTGAGACGGAAGATAACAGGAAGGCCTGCAGCAATATCCTGCATACTCATGACTTTGGGTGTATTTTAATTTCATACACCTTAAAATACAGGTTTATTGGCTATCAACAGTCTCCGTGCTGCCACGCCACATTTGCCAGGAAATGCTGGCGCACTGAGCCTCAGAGAGGCGGAGAGGAGAAGAGGTGAGTAGACACGTTGGCTCACATTACATCAGAGCCAGTTTGCAATTGATCAAAAAACACAGTATGTTGGAGTCTGAATTATCTGCAGTGAGCGTGTTTCACCTGTTGGAGCTCTGCATGAGTGCTCTGAAGCATGTCTGCTCTTGTGTGAGGCTCTGTTCACACTGCAGGTAAAACACATCTGTTTCTCATCAGATCCCAGACACAGACTGTCCTGACTGTTATTTACGAGTGATCAGGTCACATTTGTGTGTCACTGATGTGCATGGGGAGAAGGGGGATCAAGAACTGGTTCCATTTAGTCTGATCTGCTGGAACTGTAAGCCTCTGAGCTCATTAGATCCTTTTATGGATGCCAGTACATTTTTTGTATCACGTCAATCTCCTGCATTACGCTGCTGGAAACTTGCAGCAAGAAAGAGTCATGGCAGAGAGGAAGAAACGGTCCAGAGCACGGCTTCATTTCCCAAAGAAAGAAGACAGCAGTGCAGCTTGTAATGTTGTTAAATGATTATTTCAACACCAGCAATCTGCTGAAACTTCTTTTTACACAACACGGGTTAAACTCCAGGAGTGCTGAGAATCTGACACGCACCAGTGCTTATGCTTCCCAACCGTTCAGTATGAGGGTGAATAGGCTTTGTTATGATAACAGCAGCGTCATGCTGGCAGGCTGAGCAGATATTTCTTTGACTGAGAATAAAAACGAATGCTGTGTATTGTTCTCCTCTCACACTGTGTTCAGACTCTGACAGAATGAAACAGTGGCTGAAAACCTGCGTCGGTCTTGTTTGGTTTCCCCGCACAGAAAACTGATCAGGGATCAATAAGGGATGGATAAAGAATCAGAAAGATAAGCACCATCGATGATGGCATTGGTATCAATTAAGTTGTGTCAATCCCCATCCCCATGCATGGGTTGCTGTGGTAATGACACGACGTACATGTCAGTAACGATGTAGCTACACTGGTGGCGCTGCTTCCCAATGCAGAAGCATGAGAAATGGAGGTCAATCATTTCACCCTCCAAACAATCACACAGTCAGGTTGCAGTGCAGAACACACATGACGTATATCTCTTCCTGAGTTTGTCTAGTGCGACTGAGGAGGCCAGTATGTATCTGCTGCAGTCATGGAGGGTTGTGTCTGTTGTTGTTGTTGTGTTACGTTGCAAGTGACAAATAAGACTTGTTGAAATCCAGTTTGAGTGTCGGAACTGAGACGGATCTGTAAGAATCTGATTGGAACTGCATATCAAACCACCTCCAAATGTGGTTTGGATCCAATGTGCAAAAATCACTTTTCATTTATTGTTTTATTGTCCAGACTTTCTAAAAAAAATCAATCTGAATTTATGGTGGCAGTCTGAACGCAGCCTCTGTGTGTCTATGACTAAAGACAAACCTGACAAATACAGTGCTGTCTAATTTTATAACAAATCTGCTTGTACAGAAACTCTTCTGTCTTTCACAAGCTCTGGGAGGAGGTTTGTTCTAAACATGAGAAGACACAATGTTCTGAATCTGACTCCAGTTGTTGCTTTGCTCTCTCATTGATCTCACACAGAAGTCATTGTATCAGCTTCAGTGTGTTTGCAGGCTCCACCACAGACGATTTGAAAAGTACTATACGAGATATTTTAGTCACTTCCTGTCTGTGTCGCCCTCTCTGATTCATGCAGGTCGTACTGTATTTACTCAAACAGGTGACCTGTTAGAGGACAGTCAGGTAAATGAACACCTGTGGTAGAGTGTAACTGCTGCACAGTACAAACACTCAAATACTGTACTTCACTACAGAGTCAAGCTTATGCTCCTTTCTCCTCCTGATCCATCTCAGAGGAACATTTGGTACATGACATTTGTTGCCCTCTTCCTGTCCAGTGAAAACCATGTATCTCCACATGTTGATGTTGAATGATACATGAAAGGATGAAGTGTGCCTTTATGTGTTGAGCTAAATACACTCTTTAAAAACCATCTTGGATCAGCTGGAAGAGTCATCATCACAGAGCTGAAACCAGGCCCACACTACAAACATATGGTGATCTTACAGGATATGATACGTGTCTGTAGATTAAACTACCCAACAGGATATAAAGGAAATATCTACACAGTAAAATGACACAGACACATTAATACTGCAGGGACATTCATCCAGAAACATCAGACAGAAGAGAAAAAACTTTTACTGTAACACACTGACTTTTACTTTATCTATTTTTACTGAAACACAGGGGAGACTGGGGACGGTTGCAACAGCTCAGCTCTTCTTCCTCTGATCAGAAACATGCTGGAGTGATGACAATGACACTGCACATGCTCAGTTCAACCCTCTCCCCCACCAGGAAGACAGAGGACACATTGAACATCTGCTTTGGAGGGATGAAAGTAATTTTCCGTGACACTATCCTGACCTTTTGTATGAATTAATCAAAACGTACTTAGTTTGAATTATTGTTCTGTTGACATCTAAGTGACACAGTTGGCATGTTTCCAGCATGTGTTAGTGTGTCTTGTTGGAACATGATGTTCTGTCATGGCCGACAGAAGCTCAGCAGACATATCCAAACAGACCACCAACAGGATTTTCCAACATGCATCAGTCACTGTGATCGTATGAAAGAATAATTCACCTGAATATATCAAACTGTCAGCTGCTGTTTGCTACATTAGCATACTGATGCCATTACAGAGAATAAAAAGATGATTACGTTAAAGTACATAACCAATATTTACACATGCACGAGTCACTGTGAGGTAATAATCTGATTCTTTCATATTAACAAAGCCTTATTAGTTAAATGGACCATTAGTGGCTAAATAGTGAGTCAGTGTAGTTTATCATTCTGCGAATAAGTAAATCAATCATTACACAGAGCATCAACAGGCATGCCTGATTGGAGAAGATTACATCACTGTTTTCCAAACGCTTCACACACATGAACAGCAAACTAAGTTTCTATAAATCTTCACCATAAAGAGCATTTTAAAAAATGACCATTTGAAGTACCTCACACTCACTTTGTGTGTGGACAAGAGGCCAGAATGTAGAGGAAAATATAAATTTACAACAATGTATTATTGATATTATTGTACAGCAATGAATATCTACAGCATACTGTGCTCGCTGAGACAAAAATCAAAAGTTACAGAGTTTAATTTAATGCATTTTAAACATGTTGCTGCTGTCCCCGATTTAGATCAGCTGTAACATCTCACTTCTTCTATTCAAGTGTAATCATGTTCAAATAGTATGAATAATGAGCAAACAGATGTCAGTTTAATATAAAGAATTGGTTGGTGGAGCTCAAATAGTTTCCAGAGAAGATGAAAGAAGTGTAAAACGTGTTGCAACCGTCCCCAGTCTCCCCTGCTGTTACTCCAGTAAGGTTTGAATGCAGGACTGTTACTTGTTGTGGAGTATCTTAACTGTGTGGTATTAGTACTTTTACTACAGTAAAGACTTAAATACTTCTTCCATCTCTGGCTGTGTGTACTCATGAGTTAGTTAAATGGAAGTTAAATATTACGTTACAACTGTTAACGTGTTTCCTGTTGAGTTAGAAACCTTCCACATAAAGACTTAGCTCCATAATGTCACTAACACCGAGACTTTAACTAAGATTTAACGCTGAGGGAAAACAGTAGTTCGTGTCTCGTTACTCTGCGTGTTCCTTCACTGAGCTGTGAACCAACACATCAGCAGTAACGCTACAGATCCGTGTGAGAGGACACGAAACACAACTTGAGCTCAGTTAGCAGATTAGCTAACTAGCTGAAGTTAGGGAGCTAGCAGTTAGCAGTTAGCATTAGCCCGCTGACTTGGTGACACTCACCGATAATCATGGTCTCGTCCGGGATCTCCTCTATGAAACATTTCTTCTCCGTCTCTCCGATGTGAAAATACAAAGAGGAGACGACGCTGTAGAAAACGTTGAGGAGTAAAACCGACAACACACACGACCGCATCCTGACAGACACCATCTTCCTGCCGGGAGAGAGAACACCTACTGAGGCTGCGCAGACACAGCAATGCCACGTCAACCATCGCTCCAGTCCGGCCAATCAGCGCGTCGCATGGAGATGCTGGGTGCTGTAGTTGTTAATACTTTAGGGGCATAAAATGACATTACACACTTAATTATCTGAAAGCTTTAGTTACAGCTTTAGTTACTTTACAGATTCAGATTATTAGTACAGAATAAACAAGTTAAAAGATGATGATGATGAGTTATTAGAAATTAAACTAACTAATGATTAATTTTATACAATTTTATGTAACGAATAACTTGACTGATTTATATTTTAGGTATATTGTGAAGATAGATTTTGTTTTGTTTTTAAATATAAGTAACATTTTAAAAGCAGGACTAGTATCAGAGTATTTCTACAATGTGGCTTTATTACTTTTCAGATGTGCCCGAGGATCTGAGACTTGCAGAATCAGTGGCATTTTTTAAAAATATCTTCTTAAATCGTACCTCATTTTTAATTAATATATAATATTAAATATTAATATTAATTAATATTAAAATTGTTTTTATATTTTACTTGTGGGTATTTTATTTCCATTTCAACTTGTAATCCTCTGATTTTATTTCACTGCAATTTTTTTTTTTAACTGTTTCAGCCATATAAGGCATTTTGTAACTTTGTTTAGAGACGTGCTGTACACAGTTTCTAGCTGCTGCAGCAGTAATATCACATTCAGCCTGTAGGCGGCAGCAAATTGACACACTTCCGTTTGAACTAAGGACCGAAGAAGAATCACTTCCTCCCAAGCTGTTTCCATGGCAATCAGACATGGCGCCGGGTAAGTCCTACATTCTCTGTGTTAGATAAACATTTAAACGAATAAAACTCATAAACAGTTTGTGTTTTATTTACTGTAGTTTGAATAAAGTATTTACCGCAGTAACGGCTCACCGTTAAACCGAGTAACGGAGAGGAAGAGTCTGGTTGTGACGTCGTTAGCCGACATTAGCTAATAATTCAGCTAACGTTATTGATCAGACTCTGATCAGTATATTTAATATAATAACTTTATAATCAAACAAATTGTAGTTAAAACTGCAGAAAGCTACCAGAGATTTATGTCCGTGTTTGGTCCGTTAATGCTACAGTTAACTGAAACTTCTTTAACCTGATGTTAACGGAATTATTCTATAATAACACTGTGAAAAAGACACTGTGCAGAATGAGGACTTTAACTATTTAACTTATTTTGCTCATAACACTTATGTCGTTTTACGTATTTAACATTTGACTTTGAAGAGTAACGTTAGAATTCAGAATCAGCTCTTTCATGTACAAATATCAATCAAACCTATCAAACCTAGTGTTTTCATGTTTTCAGTGTCTAAAAAGAAAACAAACAAAAGTGACGTCATCTTTTTTAATAAAGCAGAAATACTGAGTGTTTCATTAATAACATGAGAGATGTGTTCATCTGAGCAGGGCTGACTGATAGTGACCATAAAATATTTTATAAAAGAGTGTGAGTGCTCTCAGAGGACTTTAACAACAGAGTAAATTCAATCTATGTCACTCATCAGTTGATTTATTTCATAAACGTCAAAATCTTTCAGTGAATATTAATGTTTTAGAGATATATATTTACTATGAAAAATACTTTGGTAAAGATACTAAATAGGCATTTGTCTTCTGCACATTATTTTAATATTTCATTTTTAATTTATTGGTTTAATTTGGACTTTTGTAAATAAATAAAATTCAAACTTTTCTTTATAAAGGTAAAATGTGTCAAACATAACATTTTTAGTTATGAATGAACTGTGGTGGTGCTACAGAGCTACAGAGCTGCGCTGGCTTACAAATCATATTCCAGATGAAAGGGAACATGATGGTTTGGTGCTGGTCCCTGAAAAAATTAAAATTGGCTTTGTTTTTTTTTATTTGGTGAAAACAGAACTCAGAGATTACCATTCCCACCAAAATTACGACTCAGATATCTGTCAAAATAATCGCAATTATTTTAAATTTTTCTGGCATATCATGCAGCCTGTAATGACCAAATTATCAGAAACAAACTGCTCTTATAAAACACTATTGATGTTATAAAGCTGTAAATCAACCCGCTCTGTTAATTAGTTCCTAGTAAGAGGCCATGTCTCAGTCTAACAGCTGGATTTTCTCTTCTTCTCTGCAGGAAGCCAGCCAATCGTATCCTTTATATGACACTGACGCAGAGCTGCAGCACACACACCTGAGACCTCAGCACTACGAAGCCAGTTCACTTTACTCAGGATACGTTTCCTGACTAACTTGCCATATCAGCCATCTGGATAACCAGTGCTACAGAGCTGGTTATTAACCAGAGGTCTGTGCTCTGAGGCAGGATTTGGAGGCGAGGTAAACTCTGGGGTTTTCAGCACTATGAAGCTGGTTGTTTTTACCGGGATAAATCACCATGGTAACTGACGCTGAACAGCTGACCTGATCACAGCCTGTCAACACTCCGACCTCTGACCAATCAGATGACTGAAGACCAAAGTTTTTATGGACAAAAGTCCAGAGTCTCAGGTAAATAAAGAGGAGCCTGTATGTTGTTGTAGGTCAGTAGAATCATTTCATTATTTCCACTGGTTTTAAAACAGAGCTTCTAACAAACACAAAGATCATTCACACACTGAACACGATTTCAGCAACATTTTAATTTTTGCAAAGTTTACTTCAGTCCTCAGTGAGTGTTGATATTTGACACTGATTCATCACTACAGCTCAGAATAACATGAAACACCTGTGTGATGAGGACTAGGATAAAACATATCATATTTTGTTAGTAAAATAATCCACACACTGTTGATTTGCTCCTCAGAGTTAACCCTGAAGTTACCTCGCTAACTCTAAATCCCGCTTCGTAGTACAGGCGTCTGGTCTCAGTGTGTGTGTGTGTGTGTTCTTGTGTTGTCCTTGACTCAGTGTCTCTCAGCTGTCGTCCACTCCCCTGCAGGTCCTCTTCTACCTGAACAGCTGGTACTTTGCTGCTTTCTACCTGGCAGAGATCCTGATGTTCATCTACAAAGGTCTGTGAGAAGCTGCGACACCTTCATGTGTCTGAACACGGTTACCATAGAGACAGGACACAAAACTCTCTGATGCCACACAGGTTAAAATCTGGTTTAAGTTCTGTTAAATCATTAAAAGGTGTGTATGTGTGAACAGCAACACACAACGAGCTCAAACATTAGAAACAGTTTCAGTTTTTATTTATTAAAGTGAATCAACGAGGGCGACGTGACAAAACAAAGTGCAAATCACAGGTTACATTCATACGTCAGGACTTTAGACACAGTAACGTGTGGACAGAATAAAACACAACATACAGACAGAGTCCTCAGAGGACCAAGAACTTCATTTATAAAGCATCTACAGCTCAACATGTCGTCACAGGGTCCAAATAATTTAACATGTTATTCCCTCAGATCAAACAGCTGAAGGAGGTCAGAGGTCACAGACCAGTCGGCTTTAATGTTAAAACTTTTGGAAGTGTTGATACATAAACCGTCTTCTTCTTTTTGTGTGCAGGGATTTTACTCCCGTACCCGTCAGACAACCTGGTCCTGGACGTGGTGCTGCTGGCGCTCTTCCTCGCTCTGGAGACGCTCAGGATCTTTTATGGTGAGCGAATGAGACACAAGACAGAAATATTCTGACTGAACCTGAACTGGACTCAATGAGGAGGCACATCGTTTGGTTCTTTGCTGCCACTGTGTGGACGACAGCTGCAGGTTCTTTTTCCAGCAGCAACATCTGAACTCACTTTTATTATAATTCAGTTACTAATTCTGAATTTCTGTTCAGTACAACCTGAACTGTTCTTCAGTGCCGCCACGTTTTATTAAAGCTTGGTCCTCATGATGTTCAGTCATTGTGCAAAACAGGCTCAAGGCAAAACTGTGCCGCTCTGGAGACGTCTAAAGGCCCCGACACACCAAGCTGACGGTCGGCTGTCAGTCAAAGGCTCAGGTCAGCGCACGATAAGAAAAACAGAAAGCAACAAAGAGCTGAAGTCCAGAGGAAGTGAGACCAAACTAACTTGTTTCATCAGGTCAGATTATTTTTCTGTATCCACTGAGCTCTTTAAACCTCTGACACCTGGAGCAACATCACTTTTCTTGTGCTGCTTTCACAAGTGTTTAACAGAAGTGTTTCCTGTTGGTTTGTGTCGTTGTTTCAACAATGGATCGTGTTAACATGCTAACTGGCTAACTAGCGTCAAGACGCTCTTCCTGTTTCCCTTTCTGTATGATGAATACAAACGACTGCCGTCTGCTGCTGTGGAGACTTATTTCCTCTCACACAGGTGCAGAACATTTGTGCTTGTTTGCCGTCAGTTTGGTGTGTTCATGTCCAACTTTTTGGCCGAGACAGCAAAGTGAGGCGACGCAGCGGGGGCTCTCATCGCCGCTAGTTGTCTGATGTCAGTTTGGTGTGTCTGGACCTTTAAGGTGTTTGACAGCCGGCTTTGTGCGGACAGACGGACTAAATGAAATAAAATGGAGCCAGTTAGTGCGGAAGTGTTCTTACTGTGGATGTTAGTTGTTGTGTTTAAAAAGAATCATCAGCAGCACGAGGTTTCAGCTGCAGTCACAGACCTCAGTGATGACCTCAGTCCCTCCAGGATATCGCCATCTTAACAATAAACACACACTTAACCCATCTGCGTGAACAGAAGGTGGTCGAACACACACGACATCGATTATGAAACACTTTCCTTGTCCCACAAAAACAAACTCAGAGAAGGGCTGAAACATGAACAACAGACAGATCACTGTGACATTTTAGACCCGCACAAACCCGAAAAAGGCCCTGGAAACGCGGGAGAGACTGATGACCTCACTGATGACCTCACTGATGACCTCACTGATCTCTGTGTTGTTCAGGTTGGAAGGGGAACCTGTGTGAGCGCTCTCTGGCCTTGTGCGCGTCGCTCGTCATCCTGTTCCCCTGCGCAGCGCTGGCTGTTTACTACCTGCTGCTGCAGACCTTCGTCCTGCGGCTGGAGTTCATCCTCAGCGCCGTCCTGCTCTGCTTCTACGGCCTCGAGTTCCTGCTGGGACTCCTCTCCGTGTCTGCCTTCTCCAGGTGACTCGGTCCTACGGGCCTCTGATGTGTCGGGTTCTCAGTACATTTAAAATCTTTGATTAAACTTCAACATCCAGAAATATTCAAGGTCATAACTTTGATTGTTTTTATTTTCTCCTCATAGATCCAACGGCTACTGAAGACGTTTGACTTCACCTGAAACACACAGCAGCAGTTCACTCTTCACATGTTCCTAAAATGTCATTTTGTAAATAAAACATTGTTTTATTTTCCTATTAAATGTAAATTTATTAGAATATTTTCTACTGTTGGTTTTATATAAACTCTTTGTTATAAGAATGTTCCAAACCTTTTTACAACTACACTGAGGGATGAAGTTATGTAAATAAATAACTGAACTTAAAATAAAAGTGAATTTGTCTGAATGTATAAGCATCAGATATTTATTAGAAATTCACACCTACAAATCAAACATTTATTAAAAAGAGAATCAGTGTGAACAGAATATCTGCAAGTGTTAGTTCAGATTCCTCAAAAAAAAAAAAAAAAAAAAGGCCTCAAAGTTTTAAAGTCTAAAATGTAATTAACAAAAGATAAGTCATCCACGTCACATTAATTCAATCAGTTACATCATGATAAAATTATTGTCATATACTGCTGCAGTGCTGAGAAATGTGACACAGATGACAAATAATTTTAGTCCATATCTGTTGGTTTTTCATCGTACTTTCATACTTTGAGAGTCTGACTGAGAAACAGCTGTTAAATTGTTTTGTATGTTGTGTTAAAAAGGTCTGTTTTTAGTTTAAGGAGAAGTACGTGAAGTAAAAGTGAAGCTGAGTTCATATTAAAGTCAGAACTTTGAGCTTCTTGTGAATGTCTGGATGAATACAGTAAAATAAACCCAGTCAGCTGGAGAGAAGGAAGGAAAGGAGGAGGAGGAGTTACCAGGACTTGGTGTGCCAGATGATGAAGAGGACCACGTAGAGAGAGCGGATAACGGGCCACCAGAAGATCCACATGTTGGTGTTGTAGTTGGTCAGACGGAAATGTTCCTCCTTGTACTGAAAATCAAACACAGAGAACAGACAGCTGATTCCTCCTGTTCTTCCTCAGTGTCCTACCTTCATCTTCACTCACTCAAAGAAAGAAAAGGACTCCAAACATTTGTCCCATACAGCTGCTTGTTCGGTCTCTGACAGTCTCCATCCATGTCAGTGAAAACATGGATGCTTCACACACAGCAGATCTATACAATCAGCACAGTTTCAAGATTAGAGTCACCAATTCAGTATCAGACCAAATGTCTCCCCTTCTGTTCCTGAGATATGACGTTAAAACATGATGATGTCACAGTCAAGCTGACCTTTGACCTTTTGACCTTCATTATTTTATCCTGTTAGACATTTGTGTCAAGTTTGGTCATATTAAGACAATCCTTTAATTTGTCCCACAGCCGGGAAAATTGCAAAAAAAACAAAAACAAAAAAAATGTTAGTGTATGAATTCTTGAGTTATGGCCAAAAATATATTTTGTGAGGTCACACTGACCTTTGACCACTGAAATCCAATCAGTTCATCGTTGAGTCCAAGTGAACGTTTGTGCCAAATTTAAAGAAATTCCCTTGAGGCGGTCTTGTGTTAACAAGGACGGGACAGACGTATGGACAGAAACTATAAGTCCTGTTTCCACTGAGCAGTTCAGTTCAGTTCAGTTCAGTTCAGTTCAGTTCATAGTTTCTGTCTCCACAGTAAAAGTTGTGGATGGTCCCAACAGAAGCGTTCCTTAGCGTCCCCATGTTTGGTCCCCCCTCTGTTGGGGTACCTAGCACACAGATCTGGTACTAAAAGGTGGAGCTAGAAACCCTGCAGTCTGATTGGTCAGTAGAGGACGCTCACTCTGGTTTTATGTAACCTCTGTTCATACATCAGTAAACTACAACTATAAAATGAAAGAGAAAAAATAAATTCATTCACTGGGCCGACTGCCGGCAACTTTTAAGGTGGAACGTTAACTTGTAATGTTACTCAATGCATGAGTTGATGACGTGAATCCATCAGCACACCTTAAATTTCACTGTGACAACTTTGACCATCACTTTAGTTTTTATATGACACACACTTTTAGTAATGACTTTAAAAATATAGATTAATTTGGAGCGGATTATGTGAAGGTCATATATTCTAATCCTCACTTCCTGTGGGCTACAGCAACACTAAACCCCTGAGCTTGCCTGAGAAGGACTAAATGCACAAAGCTGCTATTTTTAAATATCCCATGGAGAGAGACTCTCACTGCAGCCTGTTCTATTTTGTTGTGAAAATGTGGGCGTGCAGCCTCGTTCTGTGGACGATAAACCAGGTGCAGACATGGAGGCATAAAAATATACTTAGAAATAAATGTATTTATCATTTAATTGAAATTAAATTACATACATTTATTCATTAATCTATTTCCTTGAACTTTGTGTAGACAGTGAACCGTCACAGAAAACATTCATTTCAGTGTGAACGTTGATTATTGAAACAGCAAGTTTGTTTTCAGCTGATGTCTCGAGGTCTCATCCTGTTTCAACAGCTGTGTGTCGGCGATGAACTGAGCACAGTGCAGCGACAACAGCTGCTGAAAGCTCCAGAATAAATGTAGTAAGTGGGTCTTTAAACACTCACACACACACAAACACACACACACACACTGAGACTGACCCTGTGGTAGTAGCATCCTCTCTTGATGTCTTCGACCTGCTCTATCAACTGACGGACTCTCAGCGCCAGCTGCGTCAGTTTGTCTTTAACAGCCAACTCAGGGTAGCTGTACGTGCCTTCGCCCACTCTGATGTCCAGGTGAACAGTCTGCAGGACACAACAGGAAGTTCATCAGGACGGACAGTTGTCTTTTAATAAATAACAGCATTAAAGCAGCAATAAATAAAACAACCAATACATGTTTTCTTACCAACAGGCCTCCAGCAGGCTGCGAGGAGTCTGGCTGCAGGCAGATCTGGTGCTCTCCTGGTGTGTGTGATGTAAATCTGAAGGTTCCCTCTGAGGGGAGAGGACGAGACAAAACCACCTGGAGGACACACAGAGACACACTGAGAGGACAGCACAGTCACACCAGCACAGTCCTGCTGTGTAATAAACTGATGTTGGTGGTTCCTCAGTGGATCAGCAGAGGGTCTCTAGTCCTCTGCCGTAGACAGAAACATCTTTGACACCTCAGAGTGCTGTTCATGTTCCGAGTGTTTGCAGGTCATTGTTACAGAGATTATTTTCCACACTGAAACAGGAAAACAGTTTAACTTTTTCTTTTTCAGTTTGGGGTGTAAAAAATGAAAAGTGAAAAGAAAAATGAAATGCAGTGACTCTCTGTGACAAACCTGGTCATCAGGATCTTTGACCGAAACATGTATCCTGTGGTCCTGAGGGGTCGGCAGGTACTCGTCCCTCTGTGTGTCGTACAGCTCCGTCCGATAGTTACCTGCAGAGACACAATTAAAAACATCACTTAAAGAGGCCGTGCATACGTGCCACGTCTTTGACGAGAGGTCAGGTGCTGGGCGCTGCTCTTGTGCCAACTTGAAGGCCGTACACATGCTGCGGTTTTGGTGCCCTGAAATTCTTTCTTTTCAGAGCAGACACACAGCAGGTGCGTTCACGTGTTCCTGAGCGCCTGTTTTTCAGGGCACAAAGTTACACTGTGCACACGTTATCAGACTCATATTTCAGTTTGTTCTCAGTCTCCAGTTGTTTTAATTATGATAGATTCATTTATGCATTGTTCTCTTTGTTGCTGTTATAAATAAATGATAACGGTATACAGTGTGTGCAGACACACTGACATGTCCTCTGATCATTCCTGTGTGTACTTCTGGTCCCTGCACACACACAAACCTCCTGTCACTGGTTTGTAGCCAACAGAAGAATTTCCATGACTCCTTCCTCTATGATAAGAGCAGATCAGCTGATTGTGTCACGTGGGAAACATCATCACACTGCGCAGGTTGTGTTGGTCACAACACCGGAAATGCTCTGACAGTATGTGTAATAACTTTTGATAGTAAAGAGGAAACTTCTCCATATTCACTGAGGTTATTAGTTATGATCTGAAGATACTAAATAAAACACTTGATGGTTTTTTTGATAGACAGAGTTTAAATCAGAGGGTCACTTCCGGATCATGACACCTGTCTTCACATAATTAAATGTATACATGATTTATTTAAAGCTGACAACGCGACAGGTTTATTATATTTATTACATTTATTTGACAGTTAATCTCATATAAAGACGGTGAATAAATTTAACACTGATATGACGTATATTTGTCTTTAAGAGGAACTTCCTACTAACTAAAAAGTTGAAGTTGGTGTGCTAACCGCTGACGGACCGTTATCCCGGGTTAAACTCACCGATAAGCGGCGTGTCGTCCGGTAACTCCTGTATGAAACATTTCCTCTCGGTGTCTCCGATGTGAAAGAACAGACAAGAGACGAAACTCGAGAAACAGTTCAGGAGAAAAAAAACTCTCAGTAACTTCCCTGACGCCATGTTTATCCTGCAACTGCGCCTGCGCGGAGGAGCAGGAGCTGCTGGGTGTTGTAGTTCGTACAGCTGAAACACTGTTAATGTAGTTTCTGTTCCTGAACTTTATAATGAAACTACACAATTTATTCTCATCAACAACTCTGTTTATTTATTTAAGGTTTGCTGTGATGACATCATATAAAATGGAGGAATGCTTATGGTGAGTGGAGGTGAGATGTTTTGAAATTCACAATTCAAACAGAACTTTATTTATTATTTAAACCCACGCTGACACAGGGAGAACATGTCGGAGCACCTGGAGGAAACCCACGCTGACACAGGGAGAACATGTCGGAGCTCTGTACATTTGGTCCGTCCAAAAAGTCACGGCTCTGGATGTAGATTTCTCCATGTTGTTACCGGCTTCTTCTTCTCTTACACATTTAATGCTATTGGACTTCCGGGTCAAAGCCCGGGGCGGAAACTGTGGAGCATGCTCAGAGCGCCTCGGCCAGTTTGGGTCTGATTGACTGTATACATGCAGGAGTCACATGATCTGGGTGTGTTAGTCCCACTGTGACACATTCACTGCAGGAACATTTCACTCACACTGACATGTTTACATGGTTTTATATAAATCCATTTTTTCTGTTGTCATGGAAACAGCCTGACACATGTGTAAACTAATGAAATTAATTGGTAATTAATAACATGAATAAAATAACAGGACGTATTTTATGTTGTTATAAGTGCAGAGAAACTTCAGAGAGTTCCACTCGAAGCCAAACTTACCCACATTTTGTTTTTGCATATGTTCATATACATAGAGTTGCAAAGCTTTATCAACTTTTGAGAGGAAACTTTTCTTCCTTAAGCCGTCTCTAATCTCAGATGACTAATTTAACAGTAAGCGAACAGGCAGAATGTGACTGCTGGCGTTGAAAAGAGGATAAAGAAAGTTGAATTCTGCCTCGGCCATCAGCGCCGCTCCTCCTGACCTGCACATGTTTGTGCTCGCAGGGCATTTGTTCTGCTTGTCAAAGTCGCCATCCAATTGGGTGAAGCTCGTATTAAAGAGATCAGTGTATTTGCATGTCTCCACAATGGCTGCCTCGCTCGTTTCTCTTTGTGAATATAAAGTAGACAGAACCTAAAGCTGAGAGGTTTCATTACCGAGTCTATCGCAGCCGTGCAGTTCCTGCCACACAAATTAAATTGTGCCACTTTGTTGAACACCGACCTCCGTTCATAACTGCTGCTTCATCTCCACGCCGTGTCCACGGCCATCAGCCTGCACACACACACACACACACTCCTCACAACAGACACAGTGACATTTACTTTTTATATTTTGTTCTGCGACTCAGATCTCAGAGGATCCTCAGATGATACTTCACCTTTCACATGTCAGCATGTTCAACATCCAGGAGAAATGATTCTGCAGAACCATGTCACATTTACATGTTATTATGTCACTGATATGTTGAAACTTTACGCTGTGGTGAACGTGTGGTTGTGTTTAGGCACAAAACCACTTGGTCATGTTGAGGCCTGCTGTCAGGGGGGTCAGAGGGTACAGATGAGCCCGGCCCATGAAAAGGTCTGTGGGTGACCTTTAACCTGGATCCAGTACAACAGTTCACTCACTGACTTAAATCACTGATAATACAAATTATTAGTATTTACATAATGAATAAATGTAATTTTAACATTAAAACATATTTCAGTGTGAAGCAGCAGCAGCAGCAGGTGTGACAGGCAGAGCTGAAGATGAGGAGTGAGGAAGAGTCATTTTCAGCAAATACAACCTGCTGTATCAGGATCAGTTTTAAAGCTACAGTGACGACACAAAGACACAGGTGTCGTATTAAACCAGAGCACCAAAGACATCCATCAGTACCAACCATGTTATGTTACCTGCTCAGAAAGGGAGGCAACTAATGCTCCAAAGTTCTGGCAGGAAAAACATAAACTTGGCCTTTTTTCAAAATTATTTCTGCACTCTGTGGCCCCTGAACAGTCTTGGAATCTAATTTCTTCGGTAAATGTTTGATGTTACTTTTCTCTAATACTTTACTGGGGCCATTTTTTGGCTTTTGGATTTGACACCTCCTTGGTTAGGTGTGGATGAGGGGCCCGCTTTAGAAAATATTGTCCCCCTGCCTGTATTTCCCAGCAGCTGGCCTGGTTATTGTTAGAAAAGGATCATGTTTTGGTTTGAACGACACAGTTAGGGGCAGAATCTTTGCTAGAAAAGGAGCAATGTCTCAATAAAAAAATGCTTCTCATGGCACTTTCCCTGCTGGGAGCGGCTCGCTGGAAAAGCTAAAGCTAAAAAAAAAATTTAGTGGCTGATACAAATCAGCGTACCGCTAAAAAAAAACTGTTTTGTTGTTGTTGTTGTTGGTGTAATATTTATTCTCATATTTAACTAAATACAAACAAAAGCAATGAAATGTTTCCTCGATCTGACCTGGGAGAGAAACACAATGATAACAATCAGACAAAAGGAAAAGACAAACAGCCAGCCGCGCTACAAATGAACGCAGCCCTCATACGTATGTACCAGCAGGAAAAACCTCGGTCCAATAATGTATGATTTTCTTTTCAAAATGGCTTTGAACATCTGGAGTGTGTTTGACATAAATGGAGCGACGCGTGGGAGCTAATGTAGGCAGCCAACTCGAGCTGAGTGGAGCTAATGTGCTCCCTGTTTTTTGACCTTGTCAAAACTTGTTGCTGCATTTTGGACTAACGTAAGACGGGATAAGTCCATTTCAGAAGACTGGCGAGCAAACGCCCAGAACTGAGTCACAACGTTTTTATGCAGTTTTGTTTTTGTTCATTTTGCCAAGGATGAATTGTAACCTTCTCCCGACCACCACACACCGACAACACACCAGAAAACGAGTTAGTCTCAGACGGCGGTCTGCAGCTTGGCATCGTTTTAAATTCATACTTTGGTAAAAAAACAACAACTGTGAAAAGGCTTTTCATGGCAGCACTCCTGCAGCACACACAGTGATGACTCACCTAAACACAACCAGTTTGGTTGATTGTTGGTGTTGAACAGTGTCTGCAGATTGGCAGGCGTCTCGTCTTGGTGTCTCACACTCAGGTTGTGGCATCAGCTCACTGGCAGCAGGATTTGTTTTACTGAACTGTTCAAGTTGGGTTTATTTTGTTTGTCAGTAGCATCTATAACCAAATTATATACATGTTCTACATAAATACACTTTTGAAATGATTAAATAAAATGAATAATTTCATATTTTATATCCAGGTATGAAATGATGATAGGGATGCATGATACTTGATTTTTTTTACCAATATCCGATATGTAACACCTTACTTGGCTCATAACCAGGACTGATAGCAATACGTCCACTTTTTTCGCCACCTAATGTCAGTGATCATCATCGAGTCTCTTCTGTAGATGAATTAACATCAGATTACACTCACAGGCTGTGATGGTGACGGCCCACCAGCAGGTGGAGACATGACACACTGTTCAGAGTGTGTAACGTTCATTCATTGTGCTAAATAAGAAAAAACACGTTGACCGATTCGGGTGATTCATTTTAAAGCCGATATCACTCAACACCGATGATGTGCCGATACTGTCGTGCACCCCTCAGTCATGCTTGCTCTGTGTATGCTGATGTTGCCCAATGTCATGTCTCTGTTTGATCATGTGATGAGATGATATGCACAATAGCGTGCACTGAGGCCTGTCATAATGTCATACCTACAATAGGCCACTGATGCCTGTATGTTCTGCTGGTGACTGCTGCTGAACTTTACGTGTTCATCTCTTCACAGGGTTGCTGTGGTCTTCACTGAGGACTGTTTTAACGACCTTAAAGGGGAACGCCACTTAAAATGAACAGTTCCAATATGTCATTCCTGTGGCCGAGGAAAGTTCAACCAATATCAGTGTTCATGAGCGACTCTCTGTCAAAGCCAGAAACCAGAGGAGGAAGGACGTGTGATGTCATCAAGTTTCTCTCAGAAGATGTTCCCATATACTCTGAACGTTCTCCTGGCTGCTCTCTCACCATGTTTTCTCTGTGGAGCAGCTCCACACTTTATGACATCACTAATTTGAGTTTCAGCACGCTAGTTTTTGGATTTAGGAGAGTTGTTCATGTGTTTGGGCTGTTTTAGACCGTAGGAAATCACATGCATGAGTTTTGAAAGTGAGTGCAACTCCCCTTTAAGTCCTGGTGAAGCAGCGTCTTGTCTCCACTGCCTGCTCCGCCCTGCAGTGACGGCAAACTGAGTTTAAACTCCATCTTAAAACATTTTCAGTCATATTTTTATCTTCTCATGTCTTGTTCTGCACTTTTGCTGTTTTTAATGGTGACTTTTTAAAATTGTAAATCATTTATTAATTAATTTTACCTTTTATATATTTTTTCTTTTCACTTTTTTATTGTAAATCTATTATGTTTTATATTTTATTGACCTGCTGTATAAATGCACTGTACAAATAAAGCTGCCTTCTCTTACAATTATTTTGTTTTAAGACAACAAATAAACCGAATTTAAAAAATTAATAAAGAGGTTCAGTGTTAACCCACCCAGAGTTATATTCCAGAGGTGAGAGGAACACATAGGAAACATTTTAGGAAACAAAACTGACAGAAAATATAACGTACAGGTGCTGCATGTGACTGTGGAGAGAGATAACTGACGGCTGAGTTCAGGGTGAATAATTTACGATTAATTATTTAAACTTTATTAATTTATGTATCTAATTAAAGATGAAATATGTTGAAGTGATGTTTGTGTTTTTATTTCCCGTTGATCTCAGTTCAGCTGCAGTTCTATCTGTTCACCAGCAGATGTCAGCGAAGCTCCATCAGCTGAGGCTGTTAACCCTTCAGACGGAGGAGGAGAAGAAGACAAGAGGAGGAGGAGGAGGAGGAAAGAGAAATTTAAAATGAGAGGAGAGAAAGAAAAGAATAGAGGATGATGGGAGGGAGAGAAATGAACAAGTTGAGGAGAAAAAGATGGAGAGAAAGAAAGA